AACCAAAAAAACCCCCCCCCCCCCCCCCCCCCACCCCAAGCTGGAATGCTCACAATTAAATCTGGTGTAGGCATCAACACATGAGGGTACCTAATGACAATAATAATCATGCTACAAAAAGCCCTGAAGAAATCTCAGCGAAATATCAGAAGGTCCCCAAACTACTATTGCAAAATCCTTTTGGAACAAAATAAGTACCAAGGGCACATCTATTGGAAATGGGTAAAGAGGCTCTAGGTCCTTCTCCCAGTGTCCTTCCCTGGCTACCCCAGCCCTTGGGGGTGGTAGTGTGCACAGGGCTGAGCTGCTGGTCTCTGACAGCTGCCTGCAGCCATGGCTAGACCCCTACGTCCAGGCATGAAGACATTCTACATATGCTCACTTCCAGCTAAACTGGATTTGCTCTTCTTCTGAAATCTCCCCGAGACCACTTGGACATGGTTTTCTGTGAACAGGGCAGTGCTACAGCTCTCCTTTGGTTTGAACAGAAACACAGGTGGAGCTAAAGGCACGTGGATGATGGCTGAGACTGTGTCCATCACCTGCTCTGTGTCTTGGGGTTTAGAAAGGGAGATGTTGCTACGAGGCTACAGGGGTTTCAAACACAGAGTAGAGTCTCTAATATAAAAATAAAAGCCTGTTGGGGAAGGCCTCGTAATCTTATTTGGGGGAAGCTACAACAGTGTTTTAAAATAAGCTGCTGATTTTTGAGCATTAGTCAGACTTCCATTAACTTCTGTTGCAAATCCTGAAAGTGTTGAAAGACTCGTGCAAGCTCTCCTCTGCAGGGTTTCAAAGTATTGATTGGAGCATTCCTGAGTGTTCATAGCAAAACCCCCACCTTCCCACTTCTTTCCCCATGAAGGAGAAAGAAACAATTTTGACAAGCAAAAGCAAGAACGAAGGTTCTGGGGAAGAGTAAGTGAAAGGCATAAAGATGAGAAGGATAAAAGAAATCCTAAAGGGAGAAGTATTGTGCTGAAGATGGTGGCAGATAGGGAAAAAAAAAGAAGTTTCTGGAAAGATGAAAAAAAAGGTAATGAATGATCAGAGAAAATGACGAAAAACTGAAATGCATAAAGCTTTACAAAACTGAAATGTATAAAGCTTTGCAAACAGAAAACAAATGTGGGTAAAAGGAGTGCTCTTCAGATGCTCAGGTCAGAAGAAAAGACATGGGGAACAAAAGCAGAACACCTGGGACGTGTAACGTGCTGATGTTTTAAGTTTTTTTAAGATGGTACCAGCTTCTCAGAGCAAACTACATAGCAGTTTTATTATGACTTTGATGATTTTCTATATCTGTTCTCTAGAGTCATTGCTTTTGTAATATTTAAAAATGTTTTATTTTACTGGGTCACATTTATTTTCCCCACTGTACTTCAAGGAAAGGAACTGATGTGTTCTACTGTGGTGGACCAATTAATGACCATTGCAGCTCATGATGATCCCTCCGATGGTCCCCATGGTCATTTTTCCAGAGGATCCATCAAACTGAGGCTCCCTTCCAGCGAGCCCCTGGAGGTGAGCGATTGTGTTGTGCCACCAGGAACACAGAGTTCTGTACAGGCAGTTCTTCTCTGGTCAATATTGTTTCACTGGCCTGCTTGACAACGAGATCTCTGATCTCAGGGTGCCTTGAAAAAGACTTTCATGGTCACTCATTCAGGTTGCCTCTTTGGGCTGACTCCTCATACAGCCAACAAAATGCCACTTCAAGGGCAAAAAATGTTCACATGAGAAGGAAATTGGCTTTTTATTTTTTTCTTTCCAGCACCTGTTTCATTGTAAACAACGATTCAGGTAATTCTCTGTTTTGATTTTGCCTGCAGTGAGCTGGAAAGAGTTTGCCTATTTTTTTGCATACAATGCACTGTGACAAAGAAAACTTTTTTAAAATTATCATAAGACACTGCACTGTGCCTGTGGTAAGAGTAGCTCGTGGAATTAATGCTCCTTCCTTAAGACAGGGCAAGATGAAACCAGAAATCCCATGTGTGCAGGCACCATCCATAGTTTTCTTGTACTTAAAGTGACTGTTAATCCTGTATTACCTCATGCAGTCCTCCCAATGGACAGGTAACAGGTAAAAAAAAACAAAGAACAGGATCAAAAAATCCTCAGCTCTCAGAGCTTGGGCACTGTTGTTATTCTCGTTCTTATTTTAAAAAGATATGGGCAACAACACTGCTTTCAAAGTTTCACCTTTTTATGATTGTTAGTTGGGAAATACATTTCCCATGGAGTCACTGGTATTCAAGCATTTTTGTTTTAGCCAGGTCTTTCCTATTAAGGAAATTACACTGTATCATCTGTTCATCTATTAGCTGCCAGCCTTATAGCTGTCAAATCACATCAGCATCAAGGGCATTTCTCCTGGAATGTCAGCTTGTTTGGAGGTACAATGCAAGCAAGCATGGCCCTCACCTCCTCTTCTCCCTTTGGCACTGTGGACCCTCCCCATGCTCCTCCTGCAGGCTCTCCCGACCACACTGTGGTGTGCAGGGCCAGGTGCCGGGCTCCTGGAGGAGCTGGGGAGAGGGAGAAACATTCCTTCTGCTCTGCTAGACCCCCTGCTCCTTCCCAGGGAGCTGAGTGAGGTCAGGAGGCATTTCCAGCCCCAGCCGTGCTTGGGTGCTCCACGCTGGCTCATGGCTTGGTGCTGGTATGAAATGGAGAACGAGTCTGTGCCGTTCCCACGTGTGCTGAGCAGCAAGAGCTCTGGAGACAGATAATATTTCCAGTTTGGAGAGGGTGGTAACTGTTAATATCCTCATGACAACCAGAAGGAGTGAGATTGTCATCGGTTATATTAGTTAATTTTGTAAATATTAACAATTTCTAGGATTATGGCACAGGATGTGAGCTGTCGACTTGCTTTATTTTCCTCCTACTCCTTGCAGTGACACATCTTTTATACTCCCAGATTTGTGCCATGTGTTTGTTGCCTCGCGCTGACAGGCAGATGTTCAGGGATGAAGCCATGATAACCTCCCAAAAGTTAGATTTTCTGGCCCTCCTTGGTGCTTTGTTTCTTCTGATTTAAGGAGTAGTAATTTGCCTGTAAAGCACAGTGATTTATAAACACCTGTGGTTGGTTTCCATCCAGCGCTGCTGCCGAAGCCGCTGCCTTTGGCGCGGCTGAGCTCCCACTTCCCAGCTCACCTGTGAGCGCCGCCGCAGGAGCCGCTGCTCCCCATCCCCCTCGGAGCAGGAGCTGAATTGTAGCTCGCCAGGAACTGCTTCCCTGTTGTGAAAAAGCCCTTACAACTGACATTTTTACAATATGTCTCAAGAGCAACATGGTAGCGGTATTTTTAGATCACGGAGCACAGTAATGGCCTGAGCGCCAGGGCGGCCAGCCCCCTGCAGCCTGGCAGATGTGCTGGAGGCAGATGTGCTGGAGGCTGATGTGCTGCAGGCAGCTGCAGCCAGGAGCTGCCACTGCTGCAAAGCTCCTGGCCTGGGCTCCTCAGGGCAGCCCCCCTGCCGTGCCAGCCCCAGCACACGCTGCTGCCCAGCACA